CGGGCGTATGGTGCAGTGACGTGCAAAGTCTTTTAAAGGAATTAAAGCTCCGAATCTGTCTTAAGCCATGCAAAGTGTGGTATCAGGCGGATGTTGGAAGCGGAATTCAAAATCGGTTTGACGAGCTTTGATCGTGACTTTCCAAAGTAAATAGTATATGAAACGGTTAGAACAACATAATCGAAGACACTCTATATGTATAGCGTTTCCTTCGCATATTGATTATATAAAAGTAGTGTAGAACCTAAGTAAAGAAAACTGCTATAGTTACTCTTTAACGACTATATTTTCTTAAAGTAAACAATGCCCTGTTTTTCATGATATCTCCACGTGATATCCTGTACATGATTACAGTCCGGCTCTTGACTTTTGTTTTGTCACTGCCGAGTCAAAAGTAACAATACCTCAATTTAATTCCAGTCATGTTTAGCTTGTCCGTGTAGAAGAGACGAATGGTAGTGTAAGAAAGGTTATGGGGTGTAAGCAGTGTTCAAATTTTTTTTTCTGAAATCTGTTATTGAATACTTAAAAAATCAGTAATTTTAGAAAAGGAAAACGGGGGGGACAATGAAAGGGGGAGATGGAAGAAAAACTGAAAGGTGAGATAGAAAGGGAGAATAGAAGTAGAAGAGGAGAAAAAGAAAGATGAGAGGAGTTAGGAAACAGGTTGTTTGACCTTTGATAATATTGGGGCTGTTGAAAACTATTACATCAGGAAACCAAGACATTTGAGAGTCATTGAGTACACCAGAGTTAATAAAACCATATTTCACACCTTCCCTTTACATTTCCACCCATTTTCGCACCTTCCACCTACATTTTCACATCCATCCATTTACATTTCCACCCATTTTCGCATCCTTCCATTTACATTTCCGCCCATTTTCGCATTTCACCGCACCAGTATCTTTCTTTACTGTTCAGTGTTGCCTCCACCGAGTAATATCCTTCACGTTGCAGTAAGCGTGCTGTTATCTGGTTTATCCTGGGGAATTTTACATCAGCTGTCGACAGGATTAATTACAAGTGATGGGCATGTAATAGTTCTGTCAAGGTCGTTATTATATCTAAAGAAAAAGAGAAGAGAAAGAGAGAAAGAATGAGAAAGAGAGAGTAGAGGGCGGGTAGAGGACGGAGAAGACGACGGATATATATATAATATATATATATATATATATATATATATATACATATAATATACTATATATATATATACATATACATATACTATACATATACACATATACATATACATACTATATATCATATACATATACATAAATATACAATATACATATACATATACATATACACTATATAATGTACATACATATCAATATACATATACATTATACTACATACATACTCATACACATACATAATACATACATACATACATACATACATACATACATACATACATACACACATACATACGAGTATATTGAATATGTGAGTATGTGTGCATGTGTAATATGCATACATATGTATATGTATATGTCTATACTTAATATGTACTGTGCATATTTTATATGTAAATGTATATGTATAAATGTTTATATATGTATATAGAATTGTACGTGTGTATATAAATCATTTTATATATATATATATAATATATATTATATATTATATATATATATTATAATATATATATATATATATCATATTTATACATAGATGCATGCTTATATATATGTGTATATATATATACACATATTTATATATGCATCTGTTATATATGTATATATTGTACATATATATATGCATATATGTATGTATATGTATATGTAATATATGTCTATTTATATGTATGTTATATATAATATATATATATATATATATATATATTTCATATGCATGTATATTTAAATATATGTACATATTTATATATATAGGCTATATGTTTACGTGTACAAGTCATATATTTTGTACATGTGAATATGTTTTATGTATATATACAGGTATGTACATATACATGTGTGTTATAAATATGTAATATATATATATATATATATAATTATTATTTATGTATGTATGTGTATATGTTGTATATATGTATCAGATATATGCATTATATATTACATATATATGTGTGTGCGTATATATATTAATATATTATGTAAATATATATTATATTAAATATATATATATATGTATATATATATATAATATGTACATATATATGTATATATATGTAATATATATGTTATATATGTATATATTTATATATATAGTATAATATTATATATATATATATATGTATATATATGTGTAATATAGTATATAATGTGTATATATGTATATATGTTGTATATATGTTATATATGTATATTATGTATGTGTATATATATATATGTATATATATATATATATGTATGAATATATATATATAATAATATATATATATATATATATTTATATATGATATATATGTATATATATGTATATATATGTATGTATATATATATGTATAATATGGATATATATATATTATGTA